GTCATCTTCAGAAGAACCATCGGTTTCAGGTGAAGAGACAACAGGCACGGGCAGCAAAGACTCTGCAAGTCCTACAGCTTCTTCTACTTTGCGTACTGTGAAGCCAACAGCAATGGCCACTGTGGAGCAAGACATTGGTGTAACAGATCAGACAGAAAGGTCTTCCATGTCTTCCATCTTCACTACAGAGGCTCCTTTAGTATTTTTAAGAGAAACAACAAAGAGCACAGTGACAAATGAAACATTTTTTACACAGTTAGCTACAGATGTCACAAATAAAACAGCAATCCAAGGTACCATTGCGCCTTTAATAATTAGCACGAAACAGCCATTACTGACTTCACCATCACCTGAAATTGAACAACCCTTTGTTGAACAAACAGCTATAACAACAACCACATTAAGACCATCAATTACATTAACATTTGTTGATATGGAGACTTCTGGTAGCTCACCTGAAGGGGATGATTTGGAGTCAATTCCAGATGGATCTGGTGCAGAGGTATCCACTGAGACTACCACAATTCCCCAGAATGAATTTCTTGTAGCCACAGATGAAACTGAAATTGATGAGACTGAGAGCAGCTCTGAGATGTCAAGTGCTTCATCCCTGAGTCAGTCCAGCTCACCGTTTGCCAAGGAATTAATGTCATCAACCCAACTGCCATACATGATAAGAACCGAGATTTACCTCAATGAACAGGGCAGTAGGGTTTTCACAGATGACTCAGGTGAGGATTTGCCATACATGACAAGAACCGAGATTTACATCAATGAACAGGGCAGTAAGGTTTTCACAGATGACTCAGGTGAGGATGAGAGTTCAGGCGCCAGCTTGTTTTACGGATCTTCTACATTTGTACCAGTCACAAGTCCTCCTGTGATGTCCCCTACTGCAGCAATGACAAAAGATATCACTTTTTCTTTTAGTGCTACTGCGGTTACAGAGGAGCGATCAACTGAGCAAACAAGAGATAAGTCTACTTACAATGTTAGTACACAAAAGCCAACAAGCACCACATTTTCTTCTCTGTACAGCACTGAGAACCCAAACATAACAACAGTATATGCTGTCACATCTGACCAGTCAGTTAACACATCTCTGTCTACAACTGATAAATCAACACCAAGTTTAGCCTTTACTCTGACAGAAGGAGACGGTTTTGGTGACCAAACCTCTGGTATGCTCACCTCAGAGCCACCAGTGATGGAAAGCATCACATTTGGAGAAGCTACCGGTGAAACTGCAACACTTCTTTCAGTTACACCAACCAGTGATGAGTTGGTTTCCTCACAGGAAAATGATATTACTCCAGAAACAGAAACCCCTATCGTTTCTGAAGCAACAGCACCTCCTGTTTCAATCATTGTGAAAGATGAAGTTACTGTAACTGAGCACAAAACACAGTCCTCCTTTACAGCTGTATCCCCCCATACAGTTGGAGGCTCAGTTGGTGATCACACTACATTTGACTTCACCACAGTGAGCTCCAGCAGTAAACATGAACAAGATGGATTTACTTCAATGTCCACACCGTTTCCCTCCATTGTATATCACGGTGTTACAGACCAACAGGTCACGATCATTACACACAGCAGCAGTCAAGCCAAGGCAGACTTAACTGAACAAACACCTACCATGGTCTTACATGTGTCTAAACCATCAACCAGCACAACCATCATATTCACAGAGAACACAGAAGATGAGGATGAGCTGTTTTCTGCAGTTACGGACAGTACAAGCAAAGGCAGCTCCACTCCTGAGTTTATCACCAGAGATGATATTATAATTGATGTAGACACTGCTTCCATAGTTCCCTCTTCATTTCACCCAACTATCCAGATAGAAGAAGCTGAAGGTATCACAGCAATTACAATGACACAGAAGTTGGAATTAACTGAAGAACCAGAGGGTTCAGGATCCGATAGTGCCATTTCCTTTACTCCTACACCAGCAACTTTACATGCAATCTCAGCCACTGATTTGTTATTAACCTCAACATCTTCTGAATATTTACAGTCCACTTCAAAACCATCACCTGTGGAGGGTGATTCTACTATGAAGACATCCAGTGTGCAGACAGTAACATCATCGCCACAGCCTACACCAACTGCTTCTATGTCCACAAAGTCAAGCTCTGAAGAAATGCACGTTTTAACGACGCCGCATACAGTTTTCCCTATTGAGACCCATACTAAGCCAGTTGCAGGGCTGGTGGAGGATGATCTATCAAGTGGGAACACCACAGATGTCACTGAATCTCTGACTGAGATTGCTACATCCTTGCCTTCTCAAGCCTTAACTAAAACAACAGACACAAGCTCCGTGACTCCAGTGCCCAGTAAGGAATATGTGTTCAGCACAGATGAAAAAGAAGAAAAATTCATTACCTCCTCACCCACAGCCGCAACAGTCACAGGTCGTGACACTACAAGTGAAACCTTAAGTTTGTCCATTTCCACACAAACCAGTGTAGCTTCAGTCAGCATCACAACACCAGTGTCCACTGAACATGGCACAATGAAACCAACCAGTGAAGCATCTGATGAGGATGACTCTGACAAAGGCTCTGCTACGGGTCAGCCAGAATCATCCACTTATGAACCAGTCAGTCAGCCTGTTGATTCAGTGAGTACTGAAACTAGCACAGATGAAAAGGCAACCAAGTCAACTGTAATACCAGCAGCTATCACTGCCATGTCTTCAGCAGCAGCTCCCGTCAGTGCAGCAGCATCCTCTAGTTCTGAGATTAGTTCAGAAAGCGCCAGCAGCTCAGAAGAAACCATGATCACAGCAAGCCCTGTTAAGGTGAATGGTGATGAGGTTGCAAACATCACCTCTGTGCTTCTATCTGTTACAACTAAGTCACCGCCCACCCTTAGCACTGAGGTTGAAAGTGGATCTGACAGTTCTGAGAGTGCATCTGAAGAGTTGATGACAACAAAAAAACCAAAGCCTGACAGTATGGAGGAACAGTCTCTGTCCCCAGAGGAAATCCAGACTGTTTTCAAAGTAAATACTACCCAAGTGCCAAAAATAGAGTCTGCTAGCACTGAAAGCACCTCTGGGGAAGAAGACATGAGCAAAACTGAGGGACATGTCTCTCCTCACACTGAAATACCTACACAGACTGATATAGAGGTTACATCACCAGCTCAAGCACAAAGTCAGACAGTGTTAGAGGCATCTGTAGCCACCACTCCATCATCATTTTCTGACAAACTGGACAGTGACTTAACTGCACCTCCCTCACTTACTGAAGGAGTACCACCAGTAGAAGGGGAGCAAACAAGTGCCCTTCCTGATACAGGACTCGATTTGGGGCACACTGTCATTGGCGAGACTGTTGAAATTCTAGGTACCTTTTTTTAAATGGCTATCTTTGGAGTACAAGAATTTATTTTCAGAATAAATTAATAAAGCTTTTATTTTGCTTTTTAAATGTTTTAACAGGAGTTCACTCATGTATAGAGAACATTTGTCTGAATGGAGGAACTTGCTACAAGACTGGAGGCATCTATACCTGTAGCTGTGCTCCTGGTTACAGTGGTGATCGCTGTGAAAAAGGTAGAACAATGTTCATCAAGAATTTATTTGACAATATCTTACTAAATTAACTTTCACCTAAGAATCATTATTAAATGTAATTGTTTTTAATTGGGCATGTACTAGTAGCTGCTTTAGCAATCTCATGTTACTGATTACATCTGTTTCTTGTGTAGATATTGACGAGTGCCAGTCAAACCCTTGCCGTAATGGAGGCACATGTGTTGATGGGCTGGCTTCCTTCACATGTGTGTGCCTCCCGAGCTATTGTGGGCTATTTTGTGAGCAAGGTAAGTTTGTGGTTAATTTGAGGGATTTTTTCCCTAACATTTTTTGAGTATTTTGCTTCAGATTAATGAAAGTGTTTCATTGTGTCAGTGGTGTAAGTGGTCCCAACAATCCATCTAAAGTGTCTAGACTCATTTTCATATGACATGACTGAAAATTTAAAAATATCATTAAAGGCAGGTCTTTTGTTTGATAATGTATTTAGACACAATATAATCTGTGGAGAAATGAAAGAAAAAAAAGTCATGAGTCATTCAAATAGACACACCACAGACATACAATTCAACCAAGCTGTGTACAGCTGAGTATTAGGATTCTCCCAGGCATCAGATGAGTCATAATCACCATCTTCATCCCATCACCACAATTACTTTTTTCAGGATTGCCTGAGGGTCCGTCATGTCTCATAGTACTTAAATTACTTCAAACACCTTTGAGCTTTAGTTTCCACAAGACAGTTGACATATTTTCAGTGTACCCTATTTCATACATTCAGTTCTTAGTGCCAGGTCAGATGTGTGCACTCAAGTCTGTTCTTGATATTTCCATCTAGGACAAGATAAACAGATTAGACATTATGCTCAGGTTCTTGAGTAACAATTAGGTAACTATGCATATCTGCACAAGGCATTTCTGGAATATAGTAGAAGACCTTGTTCTGAAGTTGCTATATCCCCATAATTTTACTGAAGCTTCCAGATTGTGTCCTATTTTTATTTCAAGCATGTTGAAACCAGAGCGGCATCTGCCGTTGCTGATTCCTTTTGACCACTGGCTACGCCCTAAACTTTGCCGGGATCATTCATCAGTGAATCATACTCAGACTGTGTACTCAGATGCAGCTGCTGTTATAGAATGTTTTGCCAAGGGATTAGGGGAAAAGGTAATTTGAAGAGGAACAACCCAAAGAAAGCTCATGCTCCATTAATTTTCCCATGATTCTGACAGTAATTTGGAATCTCAATTTACTGATTTGGTTGTGCCTGTATGAATGCCTGTGATGTAATGGGAGAAGAACAATTTGTTTCAGAATAATAATGACACCTTGGACTAGTAATTGGTACTCCTTTTGGATTCCTTGTTTTGCATCCATGTTAGTCTAGCGCTGGTTTTAGGGGCTGTAGGTCCTCATCCTTCCTACTGTTCCTCTATCATCTTGGTGAGAGAGAGCGATCAGAGGTAACAACAGGCAATTAAGTTGCACTATATTCAGGTGTAAAGAGTACTGTACATGAAGAAGATTAGATTATGTCTTTAATGTTAAGGTGGTGAGGTAAATAGCAGCAGCTAAATGTTCCACTGTTTCACTTTCTCTTCCATCAGATACAGAAACATGTGAATATGGCTGGCATAAGTTTCAGGGCCACTGCTACAAGTACTTCCCTTACAGAAAAAACTGGGACACGGCAGAGAGAGACTGTCGCATCCACGGGGCTCACCTCACCAGCATCCTCTCCCATGAGGAGCAACAGTTTGTCAACCGTAAGTTAAAGATTGCATTAATAAATAATTAATCATAAGTGCAGGAATGTGTATTCCTCAAGCCTAGCCCATTATGAAGCCTACATGATAAGATTAAAACAGTTTAAGTTATCCTTTAAAGTTACATCTAGTAAACAAATGTAGTAAGTGCAGGAACATGATTCAGGCACTGAATATACCATCACCATCTCTCTCTTCCTTCTGCATTTTTTGCAAGGGAGCAATCCTTAAAAGGACATATGGCACAGAGAAAAGTAATCTGCTATGTTTCGCTCTACCCTGAATGGCAGGTCTTGGACATGACTACCAGTGGATCGGACTGAATGATAAGATGTTTGACAGCGACTTCCGCTGGACAGACAGAAGTCCTGTGGTAAGATAAGCTGCTTTCTCACATGTTTTTGTCGAAACAAACATGCCACAGAGACAGTATAAATATTTGGATATGACGCTGACAACAGATACAGTCATCTTGGGAGAAACGTTCTTTTCAGGGGCTGTGGTGACTTTCTCATGACGTACTCTCCTCCGCCTTACATCGCTACACTCTGATGGGGGACTGCTCTGATAATAAACCTTATATGAGGCATGCTGTAAGGCATCACAGAATCCTTTTTATCAGCCTGAGTGCAGCACAAGAAAACCAATAACTGCCAATAAAATGGCAGTCCAATGTAGAAGAGTAGGAGAAAAATGCACACTGGTGATAAATGTTGTTTATGAAACAGCACACCAGTGTGTGTTTTCTATGGTGGTAGGAGCTGCTGAAGATTCCCCTCACAAGACAGGAAAGTGGCTAATTGCTATGTGCACCTATGTAGTACAGATGGATGTCGTCACTTCAAAGCTGATTCTCCAGGGCCAGAGACAGGGGAAGCATAGGGATGGCCTGGGGGTAAAAAGATAAGCACAGGCTGTATTGAGACCCTTGCTCATACAACATAGATTGAGGGGTGATGAGAGTATGAGTGATGCTGTATAGAAGGGAGTTTGGCAGGCGTAGACAGGTATGGCCTTCCTTCATATGCCACATGTGTCAGTAGGCAGCCACCTGTGGGAAGGGCTATAAAACAGGAGGACACACAGATGGATGGCACCTGTGGTCAGCTGCAGAAAGAGAAAACAATGGATAGAAGCTGCCCTGGGAATATGGGTGGGTGGTCACCTTTTAAACAAGAATGAAGTGTTTACAAAAAATGTGGAATTTATTTTTATTAGCAGTAGGGCATTGAAGCACCAAGTTGAAATGTGTGGATCTGTGTCTGTATGTGTGGGTGATCAGTTTGATTTGATTTGTTTATTTTGAGGAGGGTGCAGGCCTGCTGTGCAGTTGATGTGTCACCCATTTGTTCACAAGTGAGCAGAGCAGGAAGTCAGTGTGTGCATTTGTTAACCATAATGACAGAGCAGCAGAGCCTCTGGGCATGATTGCAGGAGTTGGGGGTTTGCAGCTTTGAAGAAGCTGTTTGAACCTAGAATGTGCTGAAAGACTGAAGGTAGCATCAGATGCCCCAGAGCACTACAGCTGTGTATGTACTGTTTAAACATGTAAATGTCATCTGTGTGTGTGTGTGTGTGTGTGTGTGAGAGAGAGAGAGAAATTGAATGCTTACAGAATTATACATGTATGCAGATTGTGATGAAATAACACTCAGGGTTGTCCATTATCACAACTTAAACACACGATATTTGTAACATGAATACAATCCTACCAAATATATAAAGTCAAAAAAGTGTTGTGATATAAGTCACTTGACTGTATTGTGTTGCAGTTACCTGTTAAAAAAATCCCACCGACTATATTCTATTTGAATATGTTGTGGTTCATTGTGAGATTTACACCACAGTAATGTAGCTGGCTGTAATCTGAGCATTGTTTATAAGCACATTTAATAAAAATGCATTGGTTCAGTGCCTTGTGTTTTTCAGAGCCCTCAAAAGTCTTTCAAAGTTGAACAATCATGAGGTCACTAAGTTGCTGAGTGTGAGTTTGCATCCTAGAAAGATACAGTTGCTCCCCCTTGTGATTATTAACTAAAATCACAGCGATGAGACCGTGCTGCCAAAAGAGCACAGCACCTCTGTGGATGGAGGGAATAACACTATATGTAATGATTTGTTAATTTGACACTCAGACTAAATACACATTAATAATTAGTGTTTATGAAATGCATTGTAATGATAAAAAAAACAGAAACATCTGAGCATTTATAGCTATGTTAGATGAGTATTAAGTACATTTTATGATGGGTTTAATAAGATAAATTGCACTTTGCTCTTATTTCAGCTATATGAAAATTGGAGACCCAACCAGCCTGACAGCTTCTTCACTACTGGCGAGGACTGTGTAGTGATGATATGGCATGAGCATGGCCAGTGGAACGACGTTCCTTGCAACTACCACCTCACCTTCACCTGCAAGAAGGGCACAGGTAAAAAGACTGCAGAATTAGCACAGATGATCTCTTACTTTATGCATGGAGCTCAGTTTGATGTTACTGTCACTTCTGCTTCTCAGTGGCATGTAGCCAACCCCCTCTGGTGAAGAATGCACATACCTTTGGTAGGAAGCATGTGAGGTATGAGATCAACTCACTGGTGAGGTACCACTGCCAAACAGGCTTTATTCAGAGGCACAACCCGACCATCCGTTGTCGTGGGGATGGACGTTGGGATATCCCTAAAATCACCTGCGTAAATCGTAAGTACACCAAGTATTGCTTCAATAGATAGGCATTGTTTTGGGCATCTCATACTCTGTTTTTGGCTTTTGACAAACACCATTCTTGTTTTAGAGCAAATATATGATTTTTTTCACTGACAGCATCAAGCTATCAGAGGACCTTTATCAGAAGACATCAACACAATAGTCTCTACAGCATCAACAACTTCAGAAGATGGCCAGATGAGGCTCTTCGCTTTCGCTATCAGCGCTACCGGGGAAGGAGGGACAGGACCGAACATCAGTAGAAAAGACAGTGAATGCCATGTAATGTGGCAGAGTTTACCCATAACAAAAACACATGGCTGTTACATGTGTGGAAAAAGGGAAATGAAAACAAATAAAAGAGCACGAGAAAGGCACAAGAGAAAACTCAATAGAAACCAGGAGGATAACCGACAGCTGTCTTGCATTTTGAATGACGATGGAATCTTTTGAGGTGCCATTCAATGAGATGCTGACACATGACTTCCCTTTTTTTTAATCATGGGGCACTGTTTTATACAATAATGATGTCAGTATGGATAAAATACTTTCAGCTGGCTACTGGAAAAGCAGACCGTACTCTTATTAGTCTTTTTTAAACTGCAGAAGTATTCTCTATGTCCTTAGCTTATGAAATAATACATTCATACATACATCGACTGTGCTAAAATCACCACAAGTGTTCCTTATTCATAAAAAAAACATTCCTAACATTATATTGCTTATGTTATGCTAATTAACCAATTACATTGCCATTTTATGATGTGCATGCATATGCATATATGTATTGATGACCTCTGTTTTATTTTTTATCAAGAGATCCAAGCTCTGCTTCCCAGAACATCACTGTCAATGATTGATTTTTATATCACATACATAGAACTGTAAACGCTCTTAAGAAATCTTTCTCCAGTCTTCACATCTAATTGACTGAGGCAGATATGTTCTGGAACATGGTTTCATTGCTTTATTAGTAGTAGTTATTCAGATTCCAGATGAGTAATGCACCCAGCTCTAGGGACATCTTACCACATTGCTCAGTGAAAAAATAGAGACCTTCTTTGTGGTGGCAGCTTTTCAAGTACCAAAATACTATACCGCCTTTCATTTGCGCCAGCCTTTATCGGATGTCGCTGATGCCTTGTCAAGATAAATCTTTATGGAAAGACTTTCATACAGAGTAGCTTTTTTTAAATTACTGATATTTCTTATGCACACTACTTTGCCATTTAATATGAGAGTTTGCTCTATAAGTAGTTATCGATAAAGCCTTTATCCACTGATGGAAAACGGTGTCCATCATCTATTTAATAATGAAAGAAGGGAAGTGTGGCTCAAGCAGCCTGCTCATGTGTTCGGTGCTTAACTTACAATTACTCGCTACAGCATGTTTACACTAATTATAATGCTGTTCATAATCACACGTCAAGGAGTCATTGCCTTATGTGTTGCTGTTCTGCTGTAGCATGTGACACTTTTCTTGGTTATACTTTTCTTCTGCACACTTTCTGTAATTGTGGTCAATTGAAAACAGCCATTGAGAGAATGTATTTTGTGAAACACTCAAAAAGACTTGAACATGATGGCTGTTTAGGCAGAGATCCTTATAATTTATTTTCAAGCTGCTCTTGATGTCCTTTCTTGTTTTATACATGCAGGTAAAATATGGCACTCTCTCCTGGCCCAGCAGGGCTATTCATATATTTTATTGTATGTTCGACAGTGAAACAGCCACACTCTTGGACTGTCTATATGGAACTCACTGAAGATGAAAAATCGCTTAATAATAAGATAGATTTTTATGTCTTTTTACATCTTTAATGTCAACTGTGTCAACCATAATGTTGTTCTGTAACATTAACAGAATATTTGTATGTGTGAATGGCTATACGTGTCTCTTGCATTTTTAATGAGAAATACCATTTTGTTTTGTCTGTCTGTGAATTTCTGTGTGTGTTTCAGCCTTAATATGCACATAATATCATTTTATATTTATAAATGATATTAGATTTTTTATTTATGGTTTTTGTTTTTTTGTTTTGACTTTGTTTTTTGTTTTTTATAATGTGAATGTCTGGGATATTTGTGATTTTTTTAAGAGATCAAACATTTTTTTCTGCTTTAAATAACCAAAGAAATAAAATAAATTTATAAATATTGCATAATAATATTCAATTCAACAACTTCAGGACAGGGGAAAAAATTATAGGAATACTGGTGTTTGCATGTTCTCCCTTCCGTATATGCAGGTTTTCTTCAGATGTGGTTTCAAATGCATGCGAGTTATGTGGAGTGGAGGAACACAGAGGTACATTAAGGTACGTTTTGTATAGTTTAAACAGTGCAGTGGCTCCACCAGCAGGTAGTGCTGTCACACTAAGCCATAAACCTGAGTTTTTGTCTGCTCAGTACCATAAAAAGAATAGATATTTCATTTCTATGGTAGACCTGTAACTCATGGAGACTCTAAACATATTGTGAAAATTTTAAACTGAATTCTCTCTATAGGGCTTCACACAGTACCAGTGTCCCATTTTCAAAGAAATGCAGAGTCTTGCACATACATCATACACTTCTGAAAACCCCATCAGAGATGCTCTACAACCCCCTTCCTTGGTAGACAGGAGGCACATATTGGAATTGGCAATGCGAATTATAGCTACTGGAGTAGGAGCTGGACAAGGGAAAGTGAGAATTAAGTTGTAACAACTAATGCTAAAGAACTATGGACCTCCATTTAGTATACTACAGTTTTTATAGTCAGCAGCATGGATGAAGGTAGCTCCTCTTGAATGTCTTATGCCCAAGCAGGAAGCAGATGAATTTTCTTCATGTAAAATCAAATGTTTTTTTGTGCACATTACACATCACTGCAATTGCCAGAGCACCTCCTTACACAGCAGCACCATAGTTGCTGCAGTTTGACTACCCAATCTGTCATTAGAGACTTGTGATTATAGGCCACGCTCAGATCTCCCAACAATCATAAAACTTACAGTCTTACCTTATGAAGTGCAAATGTCTCATGATGAGCTCTGGGCCCAGGTTTCTCTGGCATTTAGCAAGTTTTATAAGTTTGACTTGGAAAAGATGCACCCTAACACTTCAGAATTCTTAGGCTTGAGAGGGACCCTAGACTCTGTATAGAGGTCATGACCCTGCTATTTTTCTGACACATATAACATTGTCTGGATGTGTTTGGGATGTAGCACCGTCATTGCTGGGATGCAGCAACATTTGATTGGTTGATATCATAGAAGCAGACCAACTGAAATGCTTGTTATTACTTCTGTAGAATCACTCAACAGTGAGACAAATGTAATTGTGTGTTTCCAGCACAAAACCATTCTGAAACAATGAAAGCTCACATTATGCCACAAGTGTGCATAAACATAGATATTCAGTTACCACAAATATAGTTTATTAATCGTATTTTATTAACATTTTGTACTGAAAAGTTCTGTCCACAAAACAAAAAGCTTGCATCAATAGGTTTTCACCATCACACATAGATTTGTCTGGTATTTCGGTGCTGTATCAACCTAAATCTGACCCCATTCTCATGCATTCCCACAAGCCTTGTAAAGACTGTGGTATTGCTGTTTTGGACTGGCAGCCTGGTACTGAATAAAAAATGCCAAAGAATAATATATGTGAGGAGATTCTAATCTCTATCCTCAATAAAATGGGCTGACACCAGACACATGGCCCCTATTTTGTCAGTTTAAACAATGGTGTTTAAATTTCTGCTTCAACTTTCATATAAGCACTGCTGATTTGGTCCCAGTGGAAATGTAAATGTTCATTGTTGAAAAAAGGAACAATTCCAAAATTGAATTTATAAGTTGTATTGTTTATTTCAAACTGTTGTGTTCGAAGGGGTACATGGAGATAGGATACAAACATATTGTATCTTCACCTGTTTCATGCAGAAGTGTCTACAAATGGACAAGTGACAGACATTTCGAATCTTTGCATTTATAAACAGTGTATCACCATATTACCACATGTAACCCACAGTAAGTAGGCCTACCATATGTCAGTACTCAGGATTAGAAAAAGCAGAAAGAGATAATGTAACAAAAAGCTGCCGAAAAGGCATGTTGTCTTTATTGAAAGCCAAATGGATCAAAAGTCTTTGGCTTTTTCCCACCATTCTGTTTTATACTTGTTTTAATATCGCAGCATTGCTCTACATGTCTGTGCACATGTGCCATCAGAGAACATGCCGCTTTCAGACTTTGTGCCAGCACATATGCACACACGCATAGAGCAGTATTCATTTCTAGTAGGAACGTTACTCTTTTCTTAATGTATCAGATAGAAATTTTCACAAAACGGCACTCGTGAGACAGGACTTTTTATAAACATGTTTAATAAAAACAGTAGCTGTAGTGACAAATATCATTAAAAATATTAAAAACTTGTCCACACATACTGCATAAAGTTTTTTAAAATGTTTTTCAAATTGTAAGTGGGAGTTGATCAAATGGCGGCTTTAAAGGCAGTAGGTCAAAACTGAGTCATATACATTCATCTTTTGTTAAACAGTAAATTTGATCACAGCTCATCAGGTTGAAAAACATTGCTGCAGTTTAAGTAATGAAAAAAAAAGCTTTGATAAGGGAGGGGCTCAGCTGATAACTAATATCTACAGCTAAGTGCTAGCTAAGTCATTTATATAATTGTAATGAATTTAAAGTCTTTCACTGATGTGATACATAATAAAATAAAATATCACATGGTTTTGTTCTTTACACAAATGTTAAAGCAGCGGGTATCATCTGCACATAAGCATGAATGCTTTAAATCCTGAATGTCATAAATGAAATTATTCTGTGAAAGACAAACTAAACTTAGATGATGTTTCTCAACCATTAATTTCACTAATACATTACAATGTAAATTTAGACAAATGGCTTAGGAGTTAAAAGAGTTATCACAGCTTTATAAAGGTATTGAGCTCATGCTAGATAAAATCCAAAGCCTATCTGCTTTATAACTGATTTTATTTGTTGTGGTTGTTGATGCTCTTTGGTAGTTATGACTTCTCTAATTCAGTATAGCACCTGCTCAGCCTTGAAGCAGTAAACACCGTAAGACACCTGGTTCTTGTCTGGGAATCCAACGAAGCGCACCGCAGCTTCTGTGGGGCTGCAGTTCTTGCGGGGCCTGGAGATGGGGTAGCGCACACTACCGTCAGCCAACCAGCCGGCATCGCAGCGATCGTAGCCCCTGAGTTTCCAGGCTGCATATATGTGGCCCACCTTGGCAATCTCTGCATCATCATCTAAGCATGCCTGCACAGCCTCATCATAGCTCAGACTGTGGGGTTGGTCCAGCCAGTAGAATTCTCCTGACAGCAGAGATGCAAAATGTGTGGTCAGTAGGAGAACTTGTTGGCCCTTTCTTGATGATTCAAGCATTGTCAGTTTACTTATTTTATTGTATTTTTAAAATACTGGTCAAGCCAGACATGCAGTAGTAGATTTTTAACACAATTATAAATTGAAAAATCGGTGTGCTCACCATGTACACCATTTTAAAAAATATTATAAATAGGAAACTGAAAATATGGATAAATAAACAGTCAATAAAAAAAAACTCACCCTCAAGTGCAGA